TAATAGAGGACAATCCGGGAGGGGTTTAAAGATTGAATTTGCGCTCTAACTGAACAATTATGCATCTTAATAATGCTCATAGTACTCAAATGAATCCTGAAAAATACTATTTACACTCTCAGCTAAACTACCATGTCTAGCCGGTCACTCCCTTTATGTTCTTTCACTAGTAAAGTTGCTAAATCATGTTTTTTTATTTTGTTGACTGATTTTTTAGTCAACTGTTCTGTGACCGAATTTAATGAATTTGAGCTGTCACTTGAACGTCCGGTTCAATTTTGAACCACCGATTCAAAGTTAGAGATTATAAAGAGGGATTTGAATCGGTGAGAATTCAAAATAATTAAATTTTGTCCCCGATGTGCAAAATCGTTGGATTTACTTATGATAGATATGAGGAAAATCAGCAATTCTTCAAGTTTTGACAAACTATTTTTTCCTCCAAAAATGCCGGAAGGGTCAGTCAACAAAAGGAGAAAAGGAAACACCAAGAAGGAAAATAAGATGACGAGAAGAATTATAATAGAATATATCCGTTTGATCTTTAAAAAATTCATAACTTGTTAAATTAAAAATTTTAAAAAATTAATATGTAAAAATACTTGTACTAAAGGATTAAAAACTTGTATTCCACTTTAAACAGGTGATAACTGTATTAAATATTATTACTATTATATAAAATATATATATATTAAATATTATTTAAAGTTTCAAGGATGACGACTTTCAAATTTCTCTTTGTTCACTGTGGGCTTCAAACAACGGCTTCATAGTTTTAAACACACAAGTCCTGATATCGTCCATAAAAGGAATTGAGTCGCCACAAACGCATGTTTTCTTATTCCTTTATTTTTGCATCCAGAGGCCGAATTTAAAGAATTTGAGCTGCGGCTTAAATTTGAGACGCGGCTCAAATATGGTTGGTTCCACTTAAAATTGTATTAAATTTTTCAAGATTTAAGCCGGCACTGAATTGAAACCGGTTTTTGAGGAATTTGAGACGCGGATTAAATTTATTAAATTCGGACACTGATGAAGTAAATCTGTGTTGTTTCAAACTTAGACTATTTGATATAACAGAATTCATAGTTTGAAATATCTTATAGGTTTGCGACATTTGACTAGAAAATCAGAGTTTGTGTCAAAGACTCCAGATTCCTTTAATCATTTTAATGAAAAATCGTAATATATATATAATCAATAGGTAATTCAATCAAGGTAAAAAAAACACTTGTGATATCAACATTTTTTAACAATTTTTTCTTCCGTTAAATGCCAAATTCCAAAAGAAAAACGATAATCTAAACCTTATTATTTTTTATTATTATTTAGATTTACTACTTTAATTATTATTATTATGTTTTTTTCTTATTATCATTATTATTATTATCATTATTATTATGTTTTTTCTTATTATTATTATTCTTATTATTAT